TTCTTCTTCTGCTGCAGGTGTCAGACAAAGGCTCTTTGACAGCAGAGGAGTTTGCGAAGCTCCTGGGTCTCTCTGTTCTTCTGTCTAAAGAGCGGTAAGTTATCTCATAGATACAGATGAACGACAGTAAACCCCTTCACCAAGACACATCATGTCAGTCGGTTTTACTACACAATATTTATGATATTACTACACAATATTTTTACAACAATTAGAATATTCACAGTTGTCTTTCTTATTTTATTGCTGCATTTTGCCACACGTTTCTTCTTCTTAATTTCCTTTTCTCCTCTTTTCTATTCCTTCTTCTTCTCCAGGTTGCTGCTGGCTGAGAAGATGGGCCATCTGTGTAGAGACGACTCCGTGGAGGGTTTGAGATTCTACCCAAACCTCTTTTAAACCTGTTTACAGTCATTATTGTTGAGATACAAAAAAAACTTTACTGTGCTACACTGTCTCTACTGATTGACGGATGCATTAAAAACAATCCTCTTACCACTACACATACATACTGATGTACAACAGCGCACTGTCTGCTGTACTTTGAGTACAGTAGTGTACCTATCCGATCTGGTTATGATAATTCTGTTGGTGGTAGATCTCTGCAAATCCACTGTAGGTGCCACCAACTATTTCCTATCTAGGTCTAAGAGAAACAAAGAAGATAAAACAGACAAAACTGTTCAGAATACTGTACATGCAGCAAAGTGTTCACTTCTCGGTATAGTGATCATTATGTGTGTAAGGTAATAAGTAATAAGGCTTTGGGAAAACTGACTTAATGGGATAGAGTTTCTTTTTCCAAGTGGACGGTTATGGAAAGCCCAAAGCTACTGACCATGTTTTCTTAAGTAAAAAATAAATTTATGTAATAAATGATTAAAGAAAGAAGCTTGTCATGGTGTCTTATCTTCTGAGGAGGGAGAGATCATGGACAGATTAATTAAATGTATTACCTTTCTATCTTGTTTTGCTCTCTTAGCCCTGTCCATCAAAACGAGATTTTTGTCCAATTTTCAGTCAAACTGTCTTTGAATGTAATAGCCTGTGTCTGGGACAGATTTAAAAAAGACCAAGATAAAATAAAATACCGCATATCTGAGTTTGGTTCACAGCATATAAAATATAGGGTGCATTGCCAAATGTCATTCTTCAGGCAGTTAATCCCTTCATTGCAGAGGTTGCGTTATAGAAATTCCAGTTGTGGTTGTTTTAAAGCCAAAGTGAAAGGTGAGGACTGTATTAATTGGCACAATGAAGTGCTTGTAAATTCACATCACCATATCTACTCACAGTATATCACATACAAAGTAACTGCAGAAGTAGTACCGAATGTGTGAAATATGAGCATATTAGTCTAAGTAGCTCCGTGTCTAGATGTTATACTCTGCTGGGAGCGTTGTACTGTACAATGTACTTTTTATTTTAATCTCATGTGAGTCCCTGTAGGGCTTTTTTACACACAGAATAGAAAAGTTCTTTGTTTCCATTGTGATCTGAGCTAAGCAGTTAAAGGGTGTTTCATCTCCAGAGAAGCTTCCTGTTTTCAGCTGGCTCTCTCCCTGGAGGGAAAACGAAGGTCTGCAGTGCTCTACAGCTGATTAGATTACCCTGCCATCCATGTGGTTCACTTATTGATAATAAATGAACTCAGTTGCTTCATGAAGTCTTTAGAGCTGAACTGAGGCAGGTCTGACCATAATAACGATGGGCTCACGCACAACACTGAACTTTTGGTGAATGTTTTTTTTCTATACAAAATAGCTCCTGTTCTTGCATGCTGAGATGGACGGATTTACTCAATGGTGCATTTTATGTTAATCCCTATCTTGAATGGCTTGAGTGTAATGTTTTTCTTTTCCATCAGTGGTTTATAGAAGAATGAGTTGTCAGTCTTTTTATGTGGGGGGAAGGTAATGTGATTGTGTGAGATGAATAGTTTACTACCGTGACTGCATTGTATAAAATGTTTTATTTTTTTTTACCCTGCCTCCTGGGCCAATTAGGACACACAGTGTTTTTTTTTTTTGTTTTTTTTTTTTGTTTCTTTTTGAATGTAATCTTTTAACAATCCCTTCCCAAGAAAAGATTTATGTGTAACTGCCACTTAAAGGTGTGGAGCCATCTGTTGGATCTCACATATTTCTCCATTTAGTCACTTTCCTCAGGCACCTGTGCTGAAGTCTTTTGTGCCTGTTCAAACTGATAACAATCTCTTGAATGATTTACTTTATAGTGTATATCATTTAGCGTTAAATAATGCCATTTACTTGTTAGTCAATTAATCTTAATCTTGTACAAATTAACCTGAATGTAAAGGTACTGCATGGGCGTTTCTGTTTTTTTAAGAACCAATATTTCTTTTAATTAATATGAATCTCAATTTAATCACAGGCGCCCAGAAGCAAGTTGTGAGAGACACTTCCAAACCAGTGAATAGTTTTGCTTCATTTTGCCTGTTAATCCTCCCAGAGAGGAATGTAAAGGGCAGTGGTGGAAGAAATATTCAGATCCTTTACTTAAGCATAAGTAACAATACTTCAGTGTAAAAAATACTCTTAGAAGTCTTGCCTTTAACTCTATACACTTACTCACTTAAGTAAAGTATTCTGCATCAAAATACATTTTTAAGTAGCCAAAAGGAAGGTATAGTCCATTAATGACATATTTCAGATAATATATATAGCCTATTACTTGATTATGATTGGTGATGCATTGATGTTTAGATCACTTTAATGTGGCAGCTAGTGTGGCTATTTCTGGGTAGCTTAAAATTATAATTATATGATCATATTTCATTAGTTGGTTTATATTTTGAATTAATAATCCAAATCTGCAAAGTAACTAAAGCTATCAAATATATGTAGTTAAGTAAAAAGTACAAAATTTGCCTCTGACATGTAGTGGAATAGAAGTAGAAATGATCATAATACTTAAATGTATGATAAATAATTCCACAATTATATCATTGATCAGATTTTTTTTTTAAATAAAGAAAGCATGTTATTGGTTTGTGTACCGTTGAGTCACGCTGTGTTGTCTTCACTGTGTCTCTACACTTTGGCAGGAACGACACAGTGAGTGGCACATAACATCCACTGCGTCCTGCGCGCCACCGTCAGCGCATCTCTTTCACGCGCTCTGTACACCGGCGCGCGCTCTCGGCGGGGGTGGGGGGGGGTCACTGAGATGATGATCAGCAGTTTAACAGTGAGAAGAAATGTGCTACCAACGCACGCTGGGGCCGTTACTGCGGTCGCTGTGTTGGAAAACTGGGAGAGGAATAATGCTGTGCTGAGAACAACAAGAGATGTGAGTACAAAAAGTTTTACGGTAACTGAGGATAATCCAGGTTTTGAGTTGAGTATAATGGAGAAAAGATATTCATGCTATGCCAGTTATTTGGTTGGGAGTGGACTCTTCAGCTGAGAGTAAATATTAACCTAACTTTCTTTTTTGTATTATAAGTGTATGTATTGATTTTATTAATTGTGCTTTATCCATGGCTGGTGCAAAACAACCTCTAATAGTAGAATTTGAATGGGGGTGTAAAATGGTGCCTACATTTTAGGATTTGTTTCTAAGAAAGTGAGGTGTGTTTGCAAAGAAATTACAGAAAAAAACAATCAGTGCAAAACATTTACAAGCAACCAAACAACAATGATTCGGCTTTACCCCATTCATGTTTGTTACGGGTACAGCCCCCCTCCAGCTGCTGCACTTGGGCAGCCCTCTCCATACCCATTGTGAAGATGGAAGGAAGAGGAAGACGCCACTGTAAATCCAGAAAACACATTGTCACAGTTCTAGCCTTCCTGTTTTTCATACCTCAGATCAGAAGCACCACTTCTTCCACGTCTTTCTCTGTCTGATGACACCTTTCAGCTCAATTTGTTACCTGCTGCCTTCTTGTGGATTATTTTATTTTTTATTTTTGTGTTTATTTGGGGATTTTCCTTCTGATTTGTAGAGGTCAGAAGTGGTGGAAGAGGACGGTCATGTGGTGTTGGAGAAAACAGAGGCACGGACATCGGAATGCCACAGGCTTTCTCACTGCTGCCCTTCCTGCTGGCGCTCATGGGATATGGTGCGTGTCACGAAAACCATCTTAATAACATAACTACATGTCTAAAAAGGCTGGCAGGATCACTGATTTTTAATTAATCTGATCATGCTGACACTTAACATGAGCCAAATGGGCTGTACAGCTCTATTCAAATGGGAGAGGGAAGGAAGCTGAGCTGAAGGAAAGAGCAGAGGAGTGAAGGGAGTAATGGAGGGTCACTCTTCCTCTTCCCACACTGACATTGCTTTGTGAGGATGTGAGGTTCGCACAACAGGATTTACACACCATAGCTCTTAAAATATATGCTACCAGTGCTGCAACATTTCTGCTTTTTCCCCATGTACTGATATTGTGCTCATATGCTCAGAGGTGTTGCTAAGCAGTACTAATTGTTTAAACATGTTATAAAAATATGTGACTTAATACTACTGATGCTTATCAATTGTTTATGTGGGTCGACAGTACTGAAAACTGAAGTTATTGTTTAGTGGTACTGAGTACAGTCCATCATTTGTGACCTTGATGTCCCATACAATAGGCCCGTACATAATTTAGTGTACATGAATCATGATGTTGCATGATGTTGATGTCAACAGTGACGCTACATTGCAATTAAGTCACATTTCTAACATTTCTGAGTTCCCATTTGATTTTTCATACAGTCCAAACATGAATTAGACAACTTTACATAGAAGTGTAGACACCTAAACAAATCAGGATATATCAGTTCTAGAAAATGTCAGGTTATTGGATCGCTGCGGTAAATTGAACCAGAAACGCACCCTATGGGCACAGTAACTCAAAGCTTGCCAAGTCACATCAAGAAAAATTGAAAAAGCAGATTCTAGATATAGAAATAAAATAAAAAGAAATTCTGAGACCACATTTTACCCATAGGTGACCAGATGTATAAACAAATGGTAAAATGTTCTCTGTGCCCTATCTCACTTCTGTGCATTCTTTCCTGCAGCTTTTGCAGGGCTCAATATCTGGCCCTCCTTCCACGTTGCCCTTAGCAACGCCAGTGTATTTGTGGACTTCAGCACTAAATCTAACAGCAGCACCATCCGCAGCACTAGCCTCTCTCTGGTCAACACGGAAACCAACACCACCCTTCTGACCAGGACTCTCCCCAGCAACCAATCGGCCGGTAGGGTGGAGTTCAACTGCTCTTGCTTCCTGTACGCAGGAACTTTCCGGTTCCTGCTGAGGCAGACCAGCATCTCTACTGTTTCTCATGCTAATGGCACAGATGAGAGTAGCACGGAGAGCACTGTCTGGTGGTGGAGTTCAGAACTGCAGGTGCAGTGGCCCACCTTTCACATTGCTGTGGAGAGGGCTGGAAACCACTCGGGATCTTTTCAGGCAAGACAAACAAGATTTCAAACTTTACAGACTAAGTTTGATGACGACCAGAGTGATTAACATACATTTCTTCTTCTGTCTCTCTGCAGGTTGGGATATCCACTAATGAACACTTTCAGGCTTGCTCCAGCGGCATTGACTCTGCCCTCTTCCTAGAGGTCAGCTACATGGAGTACAACCAGATAGGGCGAAACAGCATTGACAAGGTCCGAGCTCGCACACGACACCCGATCAAACCCCTCCGTTCTCAGAGTGTTGAGCTGTCCTGCGCCTTCCCCTTCACAGAAAGAGACTTCATACGAGTGGCTCTGCGGTCTCCACATGCAACACAGGATGTGAAGAGCTCTGGAGCGCTCTACCTGTCCCGTATCTTCTCCTATAAGCTGCTGGTGGAGAACAGCAATGCTTACAAGAGTGGTTGTGAAGGAACGATGACTGTTAAACTGATAACCCCACCTTGTGCTCACGTCAATGGGAAAGTGTTGCTGTATAAGGAAGCAGGTGTTGGAAGAGGGGTTGCTGTTTCCTCTGAGATGGGAGCAGGTGGAACAACACTGATGGGGTTTGGACCAGAGGGGCCCTCTTCTCCTCCGTTGGCCTTCAACTGGCTGACGCAGGGAGAGAATGAGACAGAATTCAACTGCTCTGTGTTCTACCCAGGGAGAAATAAGTACTGCTTTCGCTTTGTTTTCAACTTCAGTCGCTCCCCTAGTCCTGCACAAACCTGTTTGGTGGTTCACAGGAGTGCAGGTGAGATTTAATAGATCAACACATTCACATTTGGCAGCTGTCAAGAATACATTTATGCTTTATTGCTTCCGCATTTTGACATGGTGATAAGAAATTAATGATGGCTGAATTTAATTTGGCTGCTTTGTTTTCAGGGTCCTGCTATTGTGCTGGCTGGCTCACCATAACAGTTGTGCTTTTCCTGCTATGACAAAAATGTCTTTATCCTGTAGAGAGTGAACATAAAAAAGATGACAAAGGCATAAGGTTCACTGTTCTATGTCCAGAATCAGTCAGTTTTTCATCAGTATTTTCAGTCAGTCTCTATTTTTGGGCATTCAAGACTGAAATAGTCATCTTTCTCTTTTTTGATAGTGAGGTGGAAGATGACCTAGTGTGTCAACATCACACATTATCCTTATATCCAGATATAGAGCTACTACACTGAAATTGTTATTCTAGGTTATTAATAAAGCTATGAAATCATTGCCAACAGAGCATATCGCCACAAGACAGAAAATAGGCACCGACAGGACAGGGAACTATATTAACCCTCGTACATTCCTTACAACACATGTTCATGTTGGTCCTGTTGTCACATTAAGCATAGTCAGTTATAATTATTCATACATGGGAGTAAATCAGTCACAAATGTCACATTCTTTTTATAGAAAGTTGCTTGCAGCTGCATCCTGCCTTTTTTTGGGGGATAATATAAAGCATTAACTGGTAGAGCCTTTTTCAGCTCCATGAGGAAGGATCCGATGTGTTATACTTTATACTGTTTTTCTGTTTTTCTGCAGAGTCATGGGGCCCGTGGCAGCCATGGAGCGTGTGCAGTGTGAGCTGTGGAGAGGGGGTTAGGGAACGTGTGCGTGAATGTATGCTGCCCTCAGGTGTGGGAGGGAGGCAGTGCACTGGTATGGTGAAGGAACAGTCCCTCTGCTCACTGGAGGATTGTGTCAGTAAGTCTCTTCACCCTTCCTCCTCCTTTTTTTTTCACTTTTCTCTGTACCTTTATTTCTGCTGAATTTCACTTTTAACATAATTCTCTCCTCTTTTTCTCAGTGTTGCCTGCACCTTCCCCATCCCTCCCCCCTGTACAAGTCGGAGTTGCACCCCTAGGTGGTAACATGGTCGTGGTGGTTGGTATCTCCCTTTGCCTGGCTGTGATTCTGGTTACTGTTGTGGTGACTGTGTGGAGAAAGCTTTGCCAGACACCTCAGTGCAGCTCTGTCCGCAGAGGCTCCATGCATTCCCCTGGAGGACGCAAGCTCTCTGATGAGGCCTCCATTTGCAGCCACAGCCTCCAGAGACCAAGCCTCTCCGACGGCCATGGCCCACTGGGTGTGGGTGTAGCCCAGAAAGACACTCCTATCTTGGGCAGTCAGCCTCTCTCACAGTCCTTGTCTATACCTGTCTCAGAGGACCCAGAAAGACTGTCCCCCACAGGTCAGAAGATGCTGCCAACAATATTTGGGTATGTTTAATATTGTTTTCTTTCATCACACATTATTGTCAAACTTATTCTATCACTCCCCAGTCTTAGAAATTGAATTGTAACTGTCTGTCCAGGTACCGACTGGCTCAACAGCAGTTGAAAGAAATGAAGAAGAAAGGGTTAAAGGAGGCCACACAGCTGTACCATGTCTCTTCAAGCCCAGTCCATGACACCCTGTTAGAGACATCTGCTTCTCCCACCAACTCCCAAATCCCCACACCAACTGGATTCACTCATCCCGCACTCCCTTTGGGTCTCAAGGACGACACCAACCACAACAATTTTCATATAGCGGCTCCCTTGTCTGAGCAAGCAGCGCAGACTTCTAGGATCACGCCAGACAGACTGAGCCCCAGAGTGGAGCTGGTCTTAGGTCCTCTGGTCTCTGCTCATGCAAGTGGGGGCAGCTCAAGATGGCGTGAACGCACGGCTGACTGGGTGGAAATGGTGGAGAGGAGCGGGTTAGCAGGTCTCAGAGGAGGAGGAGATTCGGGAATGGGAAACTCCTTTCATAAGAATCCAAATTTCCGCCGCACCTCCAGTTTTAATGACACAAAACCCCAGCCTCCATCTTCTGCATACTCCAGACAGTTCAGAGAAAGGAGCATGACCCAGGTCACCTATCCAGCTTTATTTAAGTGTTTATTGAGCTGTTGTAGCTCATATTTGTGTAGGTCTGTTTAATTAACAAAGATCATGCGTTGTTCTTTTCAGGTGGGATCTCGCACCCTTCCTGAAGGAAGTTGTTGGACCAAAGGAGGATGGGAGAGGCAGCCATACCACTCTTACCCCATTCCAGAGCATGGGGCCCCAGAGTGGGCTAAATCCAGACCTCAGAGAAATGACCAAAGGAAGCCCTGGATAGAGACAGCTGTTCCCTCTCACACTGGTGAACTCAAACACACAGGAACCAACACAAACAACATTTCAGCATATGCAAAACACGCCAAAGGAGACCTCAGTAGCACTGGGGAAAGGCAAAGGAGTGGTGAGACAGGAGGTGGAGAAGGAGTCTCGGGGATTGGGGGTCCAGCCACGGGGCTCGCCAGCCTGAGTGCCGATCGTGCAGAGCGGGCCGAGCAGAACTGGAACCGCCGTGGCCCATCGCCTATCCAGAGGAACATCCTGGCCCGGAAATTAAAGGAGGCTCAGTCCTACTCTGGGGTCAAGGGGCGGCAGCGCAGCTCCACCTTTAGCGTATTGTCTGCGGAGCAGAGGAAAGGTCGGTGCCGCTCTCTGCCCATGTCCGGAGACTACAGCAGCAGTGGCGGCTCACCCTACAGGCTGAGTGAGGCAGAGCAGAGGATGCTGGACCTAGATCTGTCCTCAAATGTAGGCGAGGAGGAGTAGATCACACAGGCTTGCTGCACTACAGCAGTACATCCTCAACCTACAGTAAATCCTCTCTGCTGCATCTGTGACTTTAACCTCATCATAACACAAACACACATATCAGTGATGAAGATTGTATTGTATTTTGAAGATTTAGGGACCTTGAGAGCTTTTTCCTAAAATATATTTTAAAAGAGTTTCTGTCTTAACGAAATGTTTTCTATTGCATTTTTATTGTATTTGTATTAATATTTCAATTTTTGATCAGCATTATAATTGAACATCATTTTGTCTTGTTCAGAGTATGACTGGGTTTCTTTGTATATCAGCTACTGGTCCATTATCTACCATAATAAGTCATTTTTACCACACGGCCTTGTACTTATGTCACCGTTAAACATGCCCTAATGACAGTGTGCATTTCTGCACTAATGAATGTGCTGTTTTTATAATGCTGTGAAGTCAATCTGTACAATGCTGAGAACCCCTCTCACTATTTAGGGACAATTTGTATGTATGATGTAAGCAATATCTCACATTTTTAATGTATTTTCTGCAAAATGCACAGGTTGGAGCAATAGCATACAGTTGTAAGTATGTTTTAGAGCAGTCAAATATGAACATCAGTGAGGCATTGTGGCTGAGATGCTGTTTGTTTTTATTGAGTAATATCATACACTTTATAGGAAACAAGTCTTACTGGGAAACAGAAGATACTGTACTATCACCATTTGATAATAGTTTCAATAAAAAAGCAAAGGGAGAAATTAAAATAGAAAGAGTGTAAAGTTTTTGTCCTCATTCACAACGGAATTTGAAGCCTGGTGTTTTTTAAATTTCCCCAGCTCCACTGCCTGTGACGTCCAAGAAAACCAGAGGCCGCACCTTCATGGTGGTGTGTCTAAGGGAATACCAAAGGCCTTTCCAGGTCCCCCACACCACACCGTCATCATACTGGCCCTTGTACTTCCCTGTGCGGTAGAACTTCCCATTTAGGTTGGCTGCATGACACCTGTAGATAGAAGTAATAGTACACAATGTCAAGAGGGTAGCATTTTCCAAAAGACAATTTAAGGTGATTCACACTTTATCTTATTTATTTTCACAATCACAGTTCAAGTGGAAATGCCTATGCATGTGCAACAATCCAACAGAAGGAAGATGACAGAATTGCAACAACAACTGTAATACACACTTGGATTTATTGGAAAGGTCTCACCTGTTGAACCACCATCCTGCCTTATTCTCTTGAGCACAGCTGCCCTGAAGGTAGCGGTCATTGTCCTGTCAATCAGCATCATCAGTGTTATCAATCATCGTCTGCACATTGTCAGTAATCTTACAGTTATCAGCACCATAAAAATGCTTCGAATGGTAAAAAGGGACATATTACCAACCTGATCTCTGGTGCTGAACTGCATGCCGCTGAGGCAAGTAGACCAGTGCTCCACCATCCCCCCACCACCAGTCAGCGCATCTCCAGCTTTCCCACTATACAGCTCATACTGGAGACGATACTTATCCTGGAATAGGCATTAAAGCAAATAATGTTAGTAAAGTAATCGTTACTTCTGAGATTAAGAAACAGAAATGTGAAGTTGTTTAACTTACGGCCTCATTAGTGACCCTGAAGTTCTCATAAAACGCATAATTTCTCTGTCCATCCCAGTCCATTAGATCTATTTTCACCAGGTTGTTACCTTCAGGGCAAATATATATAGGCAGAAAATGGGGGAAAAAAAGCAGCCAACCAGAAAGAACAGTTACTGTAAGAAAAGACTATTCAAAAATAGGACACTGCTTATAAAAGGAGATGTGAAACAGGAATTCTGGGATTACCTTGACCTTCTGAGAGTAGAGAATAAATGTACTCATTCCCTAACCAAAACTCATCATTCCACAGTTTGAAGTCACCAAAGCCATCTCTGTAGTCCACCCAGTCTCTAAAATGAGAATTAGGCAGATATTTGACCTTTTACCTCTGTCAACCATTGCATTATAATGTGATACTGGGTTTTGCAAGGATACTGGCACTCATTTTATAATTTATCATATACTGTAAGTGACATACTTTCTCCGATTAAGTACCTGTTGAAGTCAACTTTTCCGTGCCGACGTTTCTGAAACACTGTCCATCCTCCTCCGTCCTCCATGTCACAGTAGACCAGAAATGGCTCCTGGTGAGATTTGGGTCTGATGCGGTAGAAACCGCTTGGTGGTCTCAATCTGTCAAACAGCTCAGAACAGTCTAGGAAGATAGTATTAAAAAAAGGCCTTATAGATTGCTGATCATTGTAACTCATCATATACTTTATGTTGCATATATAAAGATCTATAATCTACATAAACAATATGCAAATCTCAGTGAATATTATATAATTTTTCTGAATTATTTCCCACACTGCATCATCCCAAACTAATTTTATTTAAAAAATAAACACCCAAACACTTTATGTGAGCTTTTTTTTTTTTTTTACCTTTGTCATGGACAATTAAATTGCCTGCTGGTGGAAGTGGTTTCATCACTGTCACATCAGAGCTGTCTAATGTCCCACTGCTGTTGTGGTTTACACCGGAGTCTGTGTCAGTGTCAGGTTTACTATTAGACACAACAGGTTGAAATGGCAGAAAGTATTTGTGTCTCTGCAAGTGCTCAACCTGCCAAGTCCCAATCAAGAGTTTATTCTCCAGTTTTCTTATGCTGCGCTTCAGAGCTACAACCTCTGGCCCACATGAGTCCGTTTCCTAAATGAGGAAAAATAATTAAGTTATACATGTCATTTCTACTTTACTGGTACCAAGAGAGGGGCCAGCAAAAGCATAGGGATGCATCTCCAGGCAGCTATGAAACAGATTGTATTTATAGGAACTCTGCACTTTCTAGGAATGACAGTTCTTTAACAGCCCTGCCTGTAATTTATGCTTCATGAACTATATATTTTTAATTTCCAAATAAATCAAAAACAAAGACAGATATCCTGAAGCCTTTAAAGAGTAGGGAAAGCTACATACTGACAACTGTGTAGAAGAGGCCATGGTTGGGCACATCAGAGCCAACAACAGCAACACTGGCATGAGTTTTAGGAAGAAGTCCCACGCTGCAATATCAGTCTAAAAATTATAAAAACAATATATTTTAAAGATCGAAGAGTTAACAGATACAGCTCGAGAAACTACGATTCTTCAAACTTTTAAAAATCTCTGCACCACAAGCCTACCTTCATTTCACAATGCCTCCCCTTGTTTTGTCCAGGTTCAGTGTTCTTTTCCTCTAAAGATCTGTCAGTATTATTTATAGGCAGTGCCGGTTCTGCATGGTCCACATTAGATGATCCAGACTTGACCAACCTTGCCAAACACTGAACTGAAGACAGTTTGTCCTTTTCCTTTCTCGATCAAGCATTTTAGTATTTGGAAAGAGTAGCTGATCCCAGACCTGCAATTGACCTCATGGATAGAGAGGACTCCATTCCTTACATACCAGCAGTAGTCCTTCTTATTTGCCCCCCCCCCCATTTTTGGCGAATGAAATCATTTTAAAACTTTGTTTATTCTTTTCCTTGAAGTCTTGATTAATGTTTTATTATTGTGCTCCCAAAGGACATTGAGTCTTCATTGAAATCAACTTAACCCTCATACAGAGAGTTCAGTTGAACACGTGGGTAAACCACCCTTTACAATTCAGACATAAACTAAGAAAATGTAGTGGGGAAATAATTCCAAGCGATGCGGAAGATAAAATAAAGAGTGACAGCTTAAAGAAAGTGGATGTTCTTGTATATATTGTACACTAGTCCAAATGCCAAGAGAGTGCAAATGCAAAAGAACCCTACAAGGCAAACCCTAAAACATCTAAAAAACAAGCATCTAAAACAACAGCAAGAAAGTAGGAGTACAAGGGAACAGGTAGATTAATACTTAATAATTAATACTGCCCAATATGACTTGAAATTGGTCATTTTATCCAACCAACAATCAAGACACAAGCAAAACCTCACATTGATGGAGACATTGTGTGTGCTGTAGCTCCCCCTGGTGTTAGCTTTTGGTTAGTGCTTAAAATATGTTTCAAGTAGTAGTTAATATTTGTATTGCCATATACATTTACGATATACTTATTAAATATTATGATGTTATATATATATTTTTTTATATATATATTATTATATATTATGTTTGAAATCAGTTTTGGCTGTGTTATATTGATGTCTTTGATTTTTTTATCCTACCTTTTCTACCATAAAGTTGTTTTTAAAACCAGTGAAAGGAGCTATGAATAAAGTGTATTATTGGTGTTATAGTTATTGTTATGCCTCAGTCTGCAGTGCTCTCAGCTTTATTGTATCCTTTCCCTAGGTTCAACACAATGCTGTCACTTTAGGTCACGATAACGTTATTCCTCACAGCTATTGCAAACCTTTCAGACCGGGACTTTGCGTTTGGGAATGCGCGTTCAACTAAAACCAGATGTTACAGAGAGGAGGGAGATGTGAGAGGACGGTCGCAGCCTGTTGGCTCGACTCAAACACCTTTTAAGCAAATACTGAGTAAGCCTAGTTTTTAAAAAAAGGCCTCTGTAATCGTAAAAGGGAGGTTATAGTCAGGCTGTGGTGTAAAAGTGGTTTGAGGAGGAAAGATGAGTCAAGAGTAACGAGGAGTAAAGGGCTGGCCATTTTTTTTTTTAAAACACAGAGGTCCAGGAAGTCTGAAACCGCTACGTTTGCAAAAAAAAAGAAAGAAAGTGGATGGACCGAAAAAAATGTTACCCGGTTAACCTTTGAACCGTCTTCCTTTGTGTTAACAAGAAGTCACAAGACAAACTCCCGTCTAATTTCACGAATGACTGTCCTAACGGTAAGCAGGCGGTGTGACTTTTGCTAGTCCCTTCTTTTTTCTATGAGGAGCTCATTTGGTGTCAGCGGGTAAACACACAGTCCGAGGACAGAGGGAAGGGAAGCGGGGTGGTTGGTGTTGTTGCTGGTTGTTTTCATTTTTTCTTTACAGGTAAAAATGAATCCTGGTTGCTTCACTTTCTGTACAAGGTCGCTCATTTCGTGCTCCTAACTGCTAAGTTGTTTTTTTTTTGTTTTTATGTGCCATCAACGGGGCTGGTTGTATGTTAATGAACTCCTGGATGCTGATTGCATGTTTACTGATAAAATGGTTTCTTTCTGTCAAAGACTATAACTGTCAAGAGATACTGTGTTTCAGGACAGGACATCTTTTTGTCCTCTAGCTTGTCTTTCCTCTTCTTTTTTTTTTTTACATTTTTTGACACTGTATCTTTTTGGGGCAACATGCTGAACAAGGGAGTTTTTTTTAAATCTTGTTACACTCTGTGTTTTTCCAATGCAGAGACTGCAAGTTCAGGACAAAGCGAGGAGGAAGACACACACGCCATGTCCTCTGTCTACTTCAACCCAGGGTCAGATTCAGGTGTAAATGGGTGAGGAAGATTAAACCTTTATTCTGTCTGTGCGTGTGTTTTCCTTTAGCCTACTTTTAGTGAAGATTTCAACTTTTGCATCTATTAGAAACATTGCAAAGATGGAAGATGCCAAAGTGGAGATAGACGATGGAAAGGAGGAGAGTGTCGTACCTGACACGATGTATCAGTAAGTTAATACACCCTGCACTCCAGACAGTTATATATATATATATAAAACACTTTATGTACTGACAAGCATTACATTCTTTTGTCCTTTGCAGCAATATCCGGAAGAAGATAACACCTTTTGTCACGTCCTTTGGATTTCGGTGAGTGTGATTTGGATGCTCTTTTGGAGAGATCATGTGGAGTGATGATTGCCAGTGATGGTTATTTCCTTCGCCGGGTAGTGATAGATGATGCTGTCTGTCTTTTCATCCAGTATATTTGGAATGATCCTGATCCTAGTGGACTTTGTGCTGGTGATTGTGGACCTCTCCCTGTCGCAGAAGAGCAGAGAGGTCGGGAACGCCTTAGAGGCTGTGTCCCTCACCATCTCCTTCTTCTTCCTCCTTGACGTTCTCCTGCGGGTCTATGTGGAGGGGTGAGTGAGAAATAAAAGGCCTTGCAGGCAGCAGTTTGCACGCACTTGCAGAGCACTTTGTACTCTTGTGCAAACTTGTGCAATCAAATGTATCCCTATATATTTCTCACAGCCTAAAAGATAAATCTTATCTTAGCAGAGCTTGTTATGTTATTTGGCTAACACTGTAACAATATTTGAAGGTAGTTTACCCACATCTTCAGTTACCACTGCAGCAACTGCCTGCCTGTGAGTGTGAGAACCAGAAAAGTTTAAAAGAGTGATGCAAACGTTCCCAGAGTGCCGTGTCAGCAGAAATCCAGTGTGATTGGCTGTTAAACAGGAAATTATGAAGAGGAAGCTGGACAGGAAATGTATGGCATGTACTGGATTGGTTCTGGGGAACAAAACGTTTCAGAGCACTAGTGCAGTGTCCCCCTGAATAAATTCTGTTAGTTGCATGATCTGAGCAGTTTTCTCCGCACCGTGTGAATCGTCTCGTGTTGTTTTAACTATCCACCTTCTAGGTTTAAAGTGTACTTCAGCTCCAAGCTGAACATCGTCGACGCCTGTGTTGTGGTAATCACGCTGGTGGTCACCATGATCTACACCTTCAGTGACCTGTCAGGAGCCAGCCTCATCCCCAGGTACCTGCTCTCCCCAGCATTCCCCAGCATTCCCAGCATTCCCAGCTAACGGACATGTAATGTTAACAGAATTGGCTCATACAGTTGTGTTAGAGACGCCACACAGCTGTTTTTACTTCTGTTGCCTGATTAGACTTCCTCTCAGGATTGTGTACAAAGTGTGCTTAATTAACACTCTCTGCTGTTAGTGCTGTTGCACCTGTTAGGGTGGGACAATTTACACCTGTGTCATTCCTATTGGGCCATAGAGTTAGACACCATGTAATTCCCAGATTAGATCCACCTGAGGTCTAATCAGCCAACGTGATTGAAAACACCTCTTTAGGTGTGCAGGGCTTTCATATTTTATTATTTAATTAAAAAAAACAGTGTGGGTCTGCTTGGATGGAGAATCCGGCTGTACAGTAGTACTCCTAAATTTTGGGGACCCTTTAAATACTGCAAAACACTGTAAAAAAAAAAAAAANNTAAAAAAAAAAAAAAAAAAGATGCCTTTTCCTTTGGGAGCTCTGTTTACTGTCAATGTTTTGCAAATGGCACGGCAATAATGACGCTGTTGCTTCAGTTTTAATATCAAGAACACAATTATTTAATTAAATATTTCAGTTTTAACCTCAGGCTGAACAATCAACAATGAACTCGGTGAACATTTTTCATTCTAGAGTCACATTGAGAATATACTGATATCTTAAAATACTATAGTAATATTCCCTAATCCCAACGTCACCCTACAGTACGTAGAGTGCCATTGACCTTTTTATTGTTTTATCATATTTTAGAAATACCTCATTATAGGTCAATTATAGTCAATGCCATTAAGATGTTAATGTTTGTTGATTTCATTGATTTCTAAGTATATATTTTTCCATTCGTTCTTCATCAGGGTGGTGACGTTCTTCCGTTTCCTGAGAGTAATAATCCTGGTGAGGGTTTTCAGATTGGCATCTCAAAGGAAAGAGCTGGAGAAGGTCACCAGGAGGATGGTACGGTCATCGCCTAATGTAGTGAAGTTCACTGGAGGATTGCAACTGTGTAGAATTAAGGTCGGCATCGAGAGAAAGGATGTCTACTACCTCCTCATCATTTATTTGTTACTTTTCTCAGGTTTCTGAGAACAAGCGGCGGTATCAAAAGGATGGATTTGACCTCGACCTTACCTACGTCACAGGTAGTTGTTGCACGCTGTATAACGCAACAAACGCCATACATGCGTGTCAGAAAATATATCTTAAAGAAATGACTAGAAATTCCGCCCCTGTAAGAAGTTGCACATTGTTTGCAATCTTTATCCACCTTCTCTAGACCGTGTCATCGCCATGTCTTTCCCCTCCTCTGGGAAGCAGTCATTCTACAGGAATCCAATCAAGGTAAGTCTGACACAAACCTTAAAGTCCACTTCTATCACTCGCTTTACATGGATGAAATCTAATCACACTCACCAATTTTAAAAAAAAATCCATTGATTGGTTGCTACGAGGAACTAGAAACCAAATACAGTAGACCCACACACCTCTACACACACTGTCTGTCTGTGCAGGAAGTGGCGAGGTTCCTGGACGCTAAACACGAAGGCCAATATAAAGTTTACAACTTGTGCAGTAAGTAGGCAACACCTCTCGTCACATGCGCTGCATTCCTTTTCATGTAGAACTATACCAACCACAGCAAAAATATCATCTTCTGCTTCCAGGTGAGAAAGGCTACGACCCGCAGTTCTTCCACTACAGGGTTGAACGGGTGTTCATTGATGACCACAACGTCCCCTCCCTGGAGTGAGTAGCACTTTCTGTTGTCGGGTGTCATTTTTGTTTCACCTCTACGTTTTGCTTGTAATCACACTGATGCACTTTGGATTACAGCCACACAAAGGCCTTTTCTTGTTAAACAAATACATCCCTGACAACCATAATGACTAAATCCCTCTGTGTAGTGTTAGTGAAGTTTAACTTATCTCATTTTAAGATAAACTTCACCACATTTGCACCGCTTTTCTAGGCATGTGGACTGACGGCAAATATTTCTCTAAGCAAATACAAAAAATGAGATGTATCACTAACCGCCGTTACAGGGTGGACAATATTTTGCCAGGTTGTCTCAGCTCATCTTTATCATCGTGTGTGTGTCTGTCTCAGGGACATGCTGAAATACACAGCAAGCGTGAGGGAGTGGATGTCTGCTGATCCCAAAAACATCATTGCAATTCACTGTAAAGGAGGGAAAGGTGATGCCAAAGATCTCGACTTGTTTCATTCTCATTTAGTGAATAATTTGAGTTGAACAAGGACATTAGTTTGGTGTACAGTTGTTGAAAATGTCAACTAAAACTCTCATAAACTCAAACACTTTATTCAATATTCCATTCTGTCTTTTACAGGCCGCACAGGTACTATGGTGTGCACCTGGTTCATTGACAGTGACCAGTTTGAGAGTGCACAGGTACGTCTCTTTAAGTCTGAGATTCATTCAAGCAGTGGTTAATGAATTGGCAAAACATTTCGAAACAGGACTACTTGCTTACATTCCATTTCTGTTTGACCACCAGGACAGTTTGGAGTATTTTGGTGAGAGGAGAACTGACAAGAGTCGGAGCTCCAAGTTTCAGGGAGTGGAGACTCCTTCTCAGGTAAGAACAAGCCACTCAGGGGCCAAACTTACAAAGACACTTTTTAATAGGCATGTATTGTAAATGTCGGCAGGATTAGACTAAAAGCCACTTTGTGTAGAATTTGGAAAAAGTCTGACTGGTGCCTCCCAGTGGTTAAAAAACAAAACTGTGGCAGTGGAGCATGGAATATTTTTATATTACTGCATATCTTTTTCTTTTTTAACATTGAGAATAAGAAAGCTACCATATATACATTATATATTTATTTATATACATGTACATACAGTATGTTTCATATACCCTTTCTAAGCATACTGCTTATACGCTGTTCTCTCTGTGTGAACCACAGAGCCGGTACGTGGGGTACTACGAGATCATGAAGACCAAGTTCGACAGACAGCTGCCTCCTCCTAAAAGCCTCGGGATCAAGAGCATCCGCATCCACTCCATAGCAGGTAAAACCCAGCAAACCAGCAGGTCGATCCAATACATAACTTTATTCCTCACATATCCCTTTGTGCCTATTATCTCCTTTTTTTTGCTCTCACCCAGGTGTGGGTAAAGGTGATGGCAGCGATCTCAAGGTGAAGATAATAGTGAAGAAAGAGCTGGTATTTCAATGCGTTTGTGCCAAACAGGAGAACTGCACAGTAAGTGTCACACACTCGGCACACGCGCCCCATAGGTGCTGATTCATTTAATGAGCAGCTGACTAACACATCTCTGCCGTTTTTGAGGTATTCCCCGATGTGGGCAGCAACGCAGCAGTCATCAGCCTACAGAATGGGCCTGTGGTTGAGGGGGACGTGAAGGTCATGTTTGAATCGAGCGCTGTGAGTGCTTGCATTTTACATTTGAGCTACATATGCAAGGAAAGCTGGTGTCTAACCCGGTTGTCCTCTGATTCATGCTCTGTTGTTTTCATCTTTTCCCCTTAGGGTCTTCCAAAAGGATACGAAGATGTTCCCTTCTACTTCTGGTTCAATACCTCCTTCATAGAGAATAACACGTATGTTTCTGTTGCTTGCTCTGATGCAGTTGTTTTCCATAGCTCTGCTTTGACATCATTGCTGACCTCCAAACTCTCCACAGGCTGTTTCTACCCAGGGAAGAGCTGGACAACCCACACAAACCGAAGACCTGGGACCTGTACAAGGAGGACTTTGGTGTCACTATGTTCTTCTCAGAACCATAATAAAAAGGATACAACGGGTTGTTACAGTTGTACTTTTAATGGTGGATGGTAGATTGAACACTAATTCAAGAAAAATGAACGAGGCATAAAATGTTGTATGCAGTGGGCTCCTCCACTCAGTCAGATCATGTAGACTGCAGTGTTGCTCTGACGAGTCTTGGCACTTAAACTGAAATTTATAATGAGGGATATGTGAAGAAATACCATGAAATAACTTGTCTTCCAGGGAATCTGTTGATATCTGTATGTATGCACCATGACTCTTGAGTGTCCTAAAATAAAATGTAGAAATCTGGAAAAGCATCAGAAAACTTTGCACCAGATGAAATAATGCTGAAAGGCTGGGGTGTATTGCTATTTTTCTAATGTACTGTGTGTAGCTACTACTATGTGCACCAAGTGGTTTGCTAGTGAAGATAATCAGACAGGAATGTACTCTGAGGCAACAGCAGAAACCACAGAGAGTTTACCAGAACACAGGATGACGCATGAGAAACAAACGCACAGATGCTCATAGAACAGGTGTCACAGCTCCACCTTGAGGATAAGTTAGTTCTACTGGCTTTGTTCATATGAAAAAGGTATTGGCTTCCTTGTCTGTAAATATGCTACATGTTTATTAGGTTAACATTTCTGTGAGGGATCACTTTGACTTAAGGATTTATTGGTGCCAGTTGAGATTAGGCAACAGGTAAACTATTAATTCATAATCCAACATGAAAAGCACTTAATACATTTTTAAAGGATCAAGGAAATGTATGATCATACAACACAAGGTTGTTTGCAGTCTCTTCATGCTACAGTGTAATTCAATTTATTGTAGAATAAAACAAATTTAGCAAGATCAATATTCATTTAATATTTTTCACTCACAGCAAACAAAACAAGTGGACATAAATATCAGATTTTTATTTTATTTATCCATAACTTATACAATCTCTAAATTATTTTTTCATTTTACAAGTTGCATTAATTGTCATGCGAATGTTACGCCGCAGGTTGCATAGACCAAGATCTGAAAACCTTCCCATGTTACTCACACTTTGGGTCTATCAAACATGTTCTCTATTAAAGCTAAACTTAACTAGCAAAGAAAGAATTAAAGTGCAGACACAAAGAAATCCTCAGTTAGAAATACTCTTCAGGATTGAAGACCTACTTGGTGAGGCAGATGATGCAGTGCATTAAAGCAGATATTTTACAAACTGACCTATAACCCACAATGGAGCTGACGAGGCTGTTGAGACTATTGAGTTAAGATCCTGTGTGCCGTGTAGCAACTCAACAAAGCTCCAACCTGAGAAGTGATGGTGAGGTCCATTAATCCACCAGATTCAATAAAGTAAATGACCTGTTGAATCATTTTAGAATTTGTAAATCCCAGCAAATGTTATATTCTCACTGCATTGTGGGACAGGTCAAAAGGACAGACAATAGAAGTTTGATATTGGGTGCAAGCTATTCTGCAGTAAAACAGCACTGAAGCAGCTTTAAAAGTTGTAACACTGCTGTTAAGGATGAATACGTTTAACATAATTCTCCCTGATAAAAGGCACTCCGTACGACAAACTGCAAAGACATCTTTCAATGTCGAGCAGTCTTTTCACAACTGTCATTGCAAAACAGCAGTTTTGACAAACCCAACGTGTGTTGCAAGTCACAATCAGATGTCTTCGTAAAACATTACATGATAACACAAGGCATAACTGAGAACTCTTCAGCCTTAACGCAGGCTTACACAATCTACATAGACTGTCCAAGTAGCGAACAATAGCTCAAGTGACTTCCTGTTAAACAAATACGATACCTGCTGACCCACCAGCAACAGGAAAAATACACTTTTCGGCTCATTTTCAGATTTGGTCATATTGCTTTTCTCCTGTCCCACACCCCTACACCCAGAAACTCAGTCCACACTTCAGGTCAACAAAGGGTTTTTCTGGCCGCCCGGGCCAAGTTACCTCCAAAACCATTGAGGAGGTCGCACTGCTCCAGCTCGTCATACCGCCCGCTTCGCAGAAAGCAGAGCACTGCAGTTTTGCACGTCTCCTTGCAGGGCTCCGACACGTGTCCCTTATGTCTGAAGTACCAGAACTTCTGGAAGACCCGGTCATCATTGATAAAGGTCCGTATCAGCCCGTCACAGTCAGAAGGGAACAGACTGGTCACACCATACGCCTTGGTAGCACGGTATAACAGTGTCCATTTGGGGTTCTGTTCTGGCTTACTTGGCCCTCCTGGACTGTGGTTGGCCTCTGTGAGATTGAGCACGTAGGTTTCGTGGTCGAGCACCAGCCGAGAGCTGCCTTGGTAATTCCCATCCACATAGTAGACACGGTAACCTGGAAAGAGAAAAACAATGATTTTTTTTATTGAAGGTGTGTGTTGTTTCTGAATTGCTGGGAGAACAAGTTCATGAACTCACCTGGGTTAAGATTAACGTAAGTAGTAACACTGGGTGCAATGAAGGCCACTCCCAGTGGATGGGTCATGGTTGCCTCATCATAAAACATTTGGAACTCATCCAGATGTGTATGGCCAAAAAACTGTCCAGTAATTGTACTTTCATATCTGGAAAAAATAAAACAGAGGATGTTTAAAAAAAAAAAAAAAAGAACCATGAACATTTTATAACTTGTCATATTGCTCCTCCAGTTGGTAGGTTGCAAAAAGACAGGCTGACACATACAGCAAAGACAGTCTGCATATTCATTAACTAGAGCAGACACACAAAACCACAAGACATCTGATCTGACCCTGCAAAAAAAAAGAAAAAAAGAAAAAAAACAAGCGTTGCTAATAATAAGTCAGCCACACAATCGCTTCAGATTATGAATTCTCTTTTTAATAATTAGGGATCCTACATATTTAAAGAGCATTTTTACCAAAAACAGAAACAGTATAAACAGCTTTTTAATATTATAATTGTATTTAACTTTGTTTCCCCACCAGAAATATCTAGTGGGCTGACTTTTGCCCACAGGCCCCACTTTGGGCAGGCCTGGTTTAAATGATGAGTGTAGCTACCTGTTGACAATGTGATAGTAGTTCCAGCTCCAGCTGCCAAGACATAGGCCAGGTGGGATGTGACCAATGATATGTACCTAAATAAAGGAGGAAATGACACCATCAAAATATATATTTTTTTATTGCTGCCTCATGCTCAGTACCAGTGGCTAGAAATAAGTAACATGAGTCAGTCATTATCCAGATTTAGTAAAAAGCTGGAGGTGGGACATGAACTGGACCCAACGTCTTCTGTCATCTTTTGTTTTTACTGCTGTACTCACCTTCTCTCCCTTGTCCTCGCTGGCCTGAAGAATATGGACCAGCCACTGCAGCTGGTTAGCAGGGTCGGTAGAGTTCACCATCAGCCAGAAGTTTTCTCGAGCACAGAAGTTCATGTTGAGGGAGACCACCCTTAGGCCAGGCTGAATTTCCATTGTGTAGAATCCTCCATATCTGAAATTACACCCAAAGACATAGTTGAAGATTCAAGAAAGTGAAATTCAGCTCTGGGGTTACCCATCAAGATTTCCAAACTCTACATGAGGAACAGTATTATGGCAAATGTGACCACTTCTGTTCAAACAGAGGGATGTGAAATACAAGGTGAAACTGCAAACACAGTTCCTACTTTAAGATCTAAAACAAACTTTGCTTAACGTTTATTTAGCAATAGCACTGGTATCTTATCTACAGTTTGGCCTGACCTGCTAAATAATGTCAACACAAAATACACATTCAGATATAATAGAAACATGAATATCAAGAACCTCAAAGTCTTCAAAGCTTGTTCTGGTAACCATGGTGCCCATTCCTCTGCCATTGTATCGTACAGCCAGGCGCAGGATCGGTTGCCATGAACAAAGGGGGGTGGGAAGCTGTTCACTGGCGTACTCTCGTGGTTCCCCACAGCAGGGTAAACTGTCACATTGGGTCCCAGGTGTCTGGACAGAAGACGGGAGGAAGAGGTGAGAGTCAATAGCTGTTTGGATCAATTCCAGGTAACACATGACAAACGTGTGACCAAAGCAGCAGGAAAAAACACCCTGAGTGTAATCAACATGGCAGGAGTCAGAGTACAAGGCCATTATGAGCTTAAATTAGAGCAACTGCGTTATTCACATCCAATAGCAGCTGTCAAGCTATTCTACTGCAACTACGCTGACAGCTATGTGGTTAATGGTAAAGTAATAGCTAGACTACCCATCCACACTTTTATGTGTCAAAGGAGCAATTATGGTTTTATCTTCATGTCAAAACAAACTCAAAGTTAAAAAGAAAAATTACTTGTGAATGAGCCTGGAGATTACTGTAAGCTCTGACAGCTGTTGTTTCCTGGTCTGAGACCAAACATTGTGCGCTGGTATGTCTCCGGTCCAGTAGACCCAGTCCCATGGTCCAGCTTTGGCTGCATTTTCCAGGAGGTTCTCCACTGTCCGGAGAGGCAGGTCACACTTACTGTAGGTTCCCCAGTACCCAGCCTGCCGCCGCCTCCAAATGGGAGAGCTCGAGTCGTTGCGACAACACAAAGGGTCCTTGCAGTCGGCGGCGCTGCCGGCTTCATACTCCTGTTGGGGCAGAAAATTATTTTTAAAAAAGCAGTTAGGTGACCAAAATCATCCTATTGTTTTCTGCTTAGTCATTCCAATTTTCCTGTGGAAACTGGAACATCTCTTTTGAGTAAATCATTAACTTCAACCTCGTGTTTTTGGAGGGCATGACCTCAACACAGATTGCAATCCTTGAATTGGAACACTGTCCACATGAAATTTTGATAGACAAAACTTTGAGGCACTTCGAAAACTAAAAAAAGAGAGGGATATAGCTGGATTTTCCCACATCAAACTGGGTACCAGAACTCGCTGCAGGGTGATTATTTTGGTTCAGTTCTGCAACGGCACACACTCACCTGGTCCCAGTGGATATCTGTTAGGAACAGGACCCTGCTCTGCGGAGAACCGGGTTTGGGAGGAGAGGGTGGTGTAACAGGGGGCTTAGGGACCTTCGGCAACGTGATGTTCCAGGCAGCGTAGATGTCAAATTTGCCGCAGGAAGCGCCCACCAGCAGGGCACACGCTTCAGTGGGCCACAGCACGGACTGCTGCAGAGCCCGGATGAAGTCATCCCTGAACAACTCCGTTATTTCTCGACACACCTGCTCATCAGCCAGATGGAGACGAATACACGCCTCACCTACTGCACGCGCCACTCGCTCTTCATTTGTATCACTCTAGGAGAGACAACAGGATTAGAATAAATACAATTCCATGTAAAGATTGACCTTCAGAGGCTTTAGACATGATGCTTCAATGACCGTCAAAACCTCAAACACCCTGAAAAACCAGTGAGACTGAAATCTGTAAGAGTTCAACTTATTAGATAACAATAGAACACTTGTTGTGCAAAAGTCACACGCTTGGAAGGGTGCAGCATTTAAGTGTGACATTTTCATTTTTGATTTGAACAATAAATCTGGCCGGTTTAGAAAACGTATTTTTTGAGGTCAACAGCTGTAGCTATTGGATGGCAAGAGCAACTGAGGTCAAAAAAAAAAGAAATGATCAACATGTCTCGAGCCTGTTTTTGTGACAATTCAGCTATAAACACCAGGGCATATAAAAAGAGAGGGGAAGTTGTCAAGGGGCAGAACAAGAACTGGGCCTTAGCATCACATGCCTCAAATGGTTTTTGCAAACTTGAGTAAACCTACCAGTAACCCAACTGTACCCGTATCACAATTTCAAATACATTTTGAAATCAATATTTTCAAATTGAGAGAAGACAATCATGAAGGTTCAAATGTTCAGTTTGTGTTCAAACTGTTTCATTTTAAAGGCTGTGTTGTGGCTGTAGTTTGTGGAGACTGGTGTAGCCTAATATTAGATAGAAAACAAAGGGTGGACAGAATATTAGATTGTAGAACACCTCTCAATACAACGCAACGCAACCCAACACTGCCAAAAAACACAGCCGCCAGAGCGCCTATTAAGTTCAGTTGCAG